TCTATAGAGAGATTTGTTTTTTGTTATATATATATATATATATATATATATATATATATATATATATATTACAAATGCTCCTATTTTAAAGTAACTTATTTAATGTATTATTTGGATAGTTAAGTTTTTCCATAATAGCCTTTAATTATTAAGTGAAAAATACAAAGCTTACTTGAAATTTACTAGCAATTTCTGCGTGTGATTTTTTTTTTTTTAAGACAGCAATGTTATAATGTACAGCATGAAAAATGGATATTCATTTAGAAATTTGCTAAAGAACAATATATTAAACAATTGTATTGAAAGAATGAATGTTTTTAAAGATGAACTTTGATGACTGCAGAGGAAAAATAAATGTAAAAATAGCAGAAATGAGCATTACACTTGACAAATCTTAAATAAAATCTATTTTTTTTATAAATATAAAAATCTCTAATATTAGCAGATATGAATATATTATGCGTCCTTACTTGTGTTATTTTATTTAGTAATTTTCTATCTGTATTCCATCTCCGTTTCATCTGTTATTGCATGAATGTTTTCAAAATCATCCATACGCTGATCACATGACCTCTCATTCAAAATGCTGCAGCTTTTAGAAAGGAAGGAGTTTCATATCTCTAACCTTGCTTCACTCGTCCCGTTTGTCTCTCACTGTCTCTTCCTATCTTCATCTGTCTTGTTTCTTTTCCCAAAGGTTTGTTATACCACATATTGATGTTTTTGTCGGCTGTTCTCCCAGTGCTTTACACATATCACGCACTGTGTGATCAGCACATATGTTTCCAGTCTAATCCGGTATTGCACATGCTGCCATAAACCCCTCCCATCAGCATCTGTACGATCTGCTTGTAAAGTTCAATAGAGGTGCAGGGACCCACGGGGTCGATACGTGTAAATATTTGATAAATCCTAGATGAATGGTCTTCTCGCTGCTGTTGTTTTGGACAGAAGATCCAAGCCTATGTTCCTGATCACTGACTCACAGCAGTGATATACTAGCCGTCAGCCCCACCGCCCAGTTCACAACAGCTTCATACATCAGAAAGGCCAGCCTTGGGGAACATCTCATTATGTTCCTGCTGTGACTCGATTCATCTTTAATCATCTCAGATTGGGCTGGAACATCACCCAAGAAAAGAGGCTCACATGATTTATTTAAGAGCGCCCGTGAGACGCCAGGATTAATGCTTTGTTTGGCAGTATTGACAGTGTTTGAAAGGATCCTCCTTGGTGGAATTTACTCCAAGACGAGGAAGGCGTTGCGCTCAACTTTAGCTGGTACTAATAACTGCAACATTTTAAGTATTCCCCAGGATATATGGTTTCCATTAATTGGATTTGGATTTACGCCTGTTGTAATCAATGACATGCCAGCCAAAATGCAGAACCAAAGACTATAGAATCCCCAAGAGGTGTCACTCGTATAGTTTTGAATGGGGAAAAATGCAACACTCAATATGGCCGCTCTATCTAACGAAGCCCCGCCTTCTGAGCAAAAGAGCCAATCACTAATCGGTAAAGTCAGCGCATCACTGCAGCTGCCCTTCGAAGTCCCGGTTGCTATAGAAACAGTCAGCGTTCTGAGACATGCGCTTAGGACTGTGTATGCGTGCATGATTTCAAATAGGAAATTTAATCGTAAGCTTAGTGAACAGTTTTGGAGAATTTGATGTTTCCCCATTCAAAGAGATAGGAACTGCACTTGCATGCCAGAGAGGCATTTCAAAGATGGCCACCGAGTGTCATGACTTGTTTTAAAGGGACTTTGGCAAAACAGAGTTTTAAAGGCTTGGAATGAAATACTCACTCTGCAGGTCCATACAGGCCTGGTCGCCCACCATGCAGGTTATGTGCATGTTTTGAACTAGTTATCATGCCGTGCAGTAGAAGGTACATTGCGAGGAGATATGTATGCTTAAAGATAAGGGAAGAAATCCTTCATTCCTGCGGTGTGGCCCCTAGTATATATTTCAGTTTTTCTAAAATTGCTTCAGAATTGATTTGCTTTCCATAGAGGTAATTGCTTTGACCAATTTTTATTTATTTATTTCTTTTTACAGATATTCATATTTTTCAAGGAATGTATTTAATGCATTATTTGTAGGGATGCACCGAAATTTCAGTTTTCGGTTTTTGGCCAAAACAGGAAAAACTTCTGAAAATATGAGCTGAAAATATATACAGGTTTCACTCTCCCTCTAGTTGTCGTCACTGTGCGGTGTGACGCTCTGTTCAATATTCCGCTCTGTGAATGTGCATTCCGTTGAGTTGCTCACGCTCCACTCATGTACCGCTCATGCTCACCGGAAAAGCAAAGTCTCAAATTTTTCAAAACAAAAAACACGCCGACAGGAAATTTCTATGTAGTATACTTTGTACAGCTGTACTGGGCATTGTAGGTAAAAATGACGCTACCCTCTCGTGACGCTATGCTCTGCTCACATGCTCTGATAACAATAGCTTTGTAGGACTATACATTATTTGGATAATTAAACAGAAATCAGTTAAATCTGATGCTGTTGCATAGAACTGAATAAAAATAATATATTGATATTTGAAATTAATATATTTTCTGTTTATTGTTTTACTTTCAATAAAAGTGTGGTTATTTTATTGGCTTGTATTTTTTTTAAATTCAGTATCATTAAAATTATTGAGTTAAATTAAAATGTCGTACAAAATTATTTTATATTATTTAATAAAATAATAAATAATTATTAAAAAAGCATTTTCCATTTCGGTTTCCGGCCAAGTGCGTTCAGAATTTTCGGTTTCGGCCCAGAATTTTCATTTCGGTGCATCCCTAATTATTTGGATAATTACATTTTTAAATAATAACGTTTAATTGTTAAAGGAAAATTGTTAAATGCATTGTGGATGCTATCATTAATTAACTATTATATGCATTATTATAATAATAAGTAGTAGTATTAATACTAATACTATTATTATTGCTGTTGTTAGTATTAGTAGTATTGTTAAATTCATTGTGAATATTTTTATAATAATAAAAATAATAAATATTATGATTTAACTCTGTTATTTAAACATACACATTGCATATTATGTTATTGCATCAGAAAGAAGAAATACAAAATAATTAAAAACTCAGGATATTGTTTATTGGCCACTTGAACATTTAAAATAAATCTGTATTGCTTTAAAGTATACAAACACAATATCCATTTATTTCCCATATGAAATTTCTCATAAATTCCCTTGGTAAAGGTATTTTGCTTGTGGCTGAATGCTTGGACAGGTATGAACATGGGTTTTGTTGAAAACCAACATTTAGCTGTGGAGGGTCTTCAAAGGTGTAATTACACGCAGTACTTGTGTGAACAGTGAACAGTGCCCTCTTCCTGTCATTGCTGGTGCCAAAAAAAATTGGTGTGAAATGTGACGTGACATAAATATTTGTGTCCTTTTGTTTTTGTTTTTTTTCAGGTAAAAAAGGCCTTTTTTGCCTTGGTGGCCAATGGGGTGCGAGCCGCCCCTCTCTGGGAGACCAAGAAACAGAGTTTTGTGGGTGAGTATGTTCTAATAATGAATCCAAAAAATGGCACTGTTTGATATGATAACAAAGACCCTTTTTTGAAAGAACAAGCACCTGATTTTTGATGGTAGAAGTTGTTGTACAGTAGGTATCAAAATTCTTCGTACCCTTTGGTTACTGTCGTCTTATCAGATTCCAAGAGTGTTTTCCTTATCTGCGTTTTCTTAAACCGAGGCTTGTAAGTGGAGCTGCTCTTTGGCAGACTCTCTAAGGGAGTGCAACGTATACGTCCAGATCTCTTTGCCTGGAGATGCTCCTTACTGTCACCCTCTACATACTCAGCAGTCCTCTGATACAGAATCTTATCTGTTACCATGACAAAATTCACTCCAAATAGAAGTGTGTGCTGACCAGATCGCAGCGTTTGCCTCCGGCTCCACAAAAAAAAAATTAAATAATGATTTATTTAAGTTAAAAATAACATGGCGGAAATATTTTATATAATTTATATATATATATATATATATATATATATATATATATATATATAGGTACATCTCAAAAAATTAGAATATTAGAATAAAGGTCTATATTTTTTTGTCACTCATTTCAGAAAGTGAAACCCATATATTATATAGATTCATTACACATAGAGTGAAATATTTCAAGCCTTTATTTCAAGGCTTACAGATAATGAAAACTCAAAATTCAGTGTCTCAGAAAATTAGAATATTACATAAGATCAATAAAAAAAGGATATTTTAAACAGAAATGTCAGGCTTCTGAAAAGTATGTTCATTTCTATGCACTCAATACTTGGTTGGGCCTCCTTTTGCATGAATTACTGCATCAGTGCAGCGTGGCATGGAGGCAATCAGCCTGTGGCACAGCTGAGGTGGTATGGAAGCCCAGGTTGCTTTGATAGCGGCCTTCAGGTCATCTGCATTGTTGGGTCTGGTGTCTCTCATCTTCCTCTTGACAATACCCCAT